CATACATACATACATACATACATACATACATACATACATACATACATGTACTATATTATAAATTATATAAACATAATTTAAAAAATTGTTTAACTGTTTTATAAAATATCTATAAATAATCTATCTGATGTCAATGTGATTTCCCTGTCAAACACATGTATTAAGTATTTATGTGCTATAAACTTTCTAATAAAATCCTTGAAGCAATATTAAAAATGTCAATAACCAGGCCTCAAAGAGTTATTTTCTGAAATTTTATATTGAATGTTCTCCAGAATACTCTCAATAGTCACACAGCAGTGTTATATTTATCAATTCACCATCAATCCAGTGAAAGATGGACCACTGGGTATTTGCTAAACCAACACCCAATATATTTAATTCCCAATTCTTTTTTAAAGTTTCTATGAACATCTAATGTGAATATTTGTAAGCTAGTGTCTTCTTATAAGCAAAAATATTGATGATTTACCACATGGATTGCCCAACATAGCCAGACAGGTCAAAGTGACCATGTGCTGGACCCCAAAACCTACATAAACAGATCAGCAGGCATTTAAATGTTACTCAGTGCTTGTTCAAATTCTTAAGCAGTTCACTGTATGAGCGGAATTAAGACACTCAGGACTGTTCTCTGCACCTTTGAAGAGACCTATGATGGACATATAAACTTTTGTAGGTCCACGGTAGGTGCAGTGAAACACCCAGGAAGGCCAAAAACACATCTCTGTTGCCCTCTTAGCACAGTCCCCTCTTCAGCCTTGAGATTAGGGCAGAGGCTTGTGCACAGCTGCTCCCCAACATCCCCGATAAAAATCAGGCAATTTCACAGTCAGTGGCATTCTTTCATCCCCTAATCCACAAGCCGCATGCAGTTATAGATGAACCTCGCTGCGATGAGAACAAGCTTTTCTGAGTTGACCTCATCAGTTAATGTGGACACTTTGGTCTGTCTGTAGAGACATCGAACAGCCACACTGTTGGGTGCAGGGGCCAGAACAAAAGCCACTGTAAACACACTTCCACAATGGGCAGATCTGTGTCTTTTTAAGGATGATCATCATCACTTTTGTGGGGAAATATTTCACATATTTAAGAATATTAATATAAAGTTAAATAAATTGTGTTTCTAGATTTTAACAGTAGGATGGATTAGTCCAATTTTCAACTGAAATTAACATATATTCTTATGGATTATCAAAGTTTTGAACTACTTCTACATCTATTATCTCCCCTTCTACAACACCTCTCCAGTAACGGCTTTGCTCAAGGAGCTCATCATATACAAACTTCCTTTAATGTTCTTCATTGTTGTTGCATCCTACTATTCTTCACAGATTTCCCCCCTTCTCAAGCCTCTCAGTTCACCCATTTTGTCTGACCCCAACATCCATTTGCAAAGGTATTCTTCAACAAGTTCAACCAAGGGACAAAAGGGTACTTCAGAGGAAAAAGGAGTATGAATCAAAAGGCAAGGAAATAGAATTCACTGTACAAACGTCAGGGGAATTTCAATGTCCGCAGAGGCACAGAAGAGCTCTGTTCGTCCTCGCAGGCTGCAGGGTGAAAAGAGCAGCGGCCACAGCGGGGCACGTCCATTCTGACAAGTCCTTACACACACTGAAAAGCCCGTGCAAGGTCTATTTGTTTAAGAAGCAACAAACCCAGTTGAAGCTTTAATGAAATGTTAGGATCCTTTTACAGAATTGCTTTTGGCAGATTTATTTGGTTGACTATAAAATTAAATGGAATGTTTCCTGTTTGCTTTTTTTTTGCACTGAAAAAAACAGGAAAGTTTGATCATAGCATTTATTTACAATTTTATTTAAGAAACATACTAAAGACTAAACCTTGAAAAACTATACCAACAAACTTAAGAATATCCTTCAAGACTATACTTCTTATCTTACTGGGAATTTGGCCAAGCTAGACATCAAAGGGATAAAGACCATTATGGAAAGATATGAAAAACCCATTTGCATTCTGTAAGAAAAATTCTTGACTAAAACTCTCCTGATAAATTATTTGAAAGCACATGGTTGCTCTCTTGTAATTCTGATTTATGTGGAGTTTAAATGTTTCTTATAAAGAGGCCTCTTCCTTGCCCATATTTTACACAAGCTCCTTTTCACATTCATTACCTTGAGATGGTTAATGGATATAGTTACAATTAATTACGTGAGTTCTTTTTCATTTCTGTGATGATGTCCTGGTTTAACTCAACTCCTTCCACAAAGGTCAGTGCTGGATTCAAAATTATACCCTTGGGATTGAAGTCTCACAAAAACGCTCTCCAAGGCAAGAAAATAATCAGATAACATAATTATTCATTATTTTAGTCATTCAAAAAGAAAATTCCTAACTTTTCCGCCTGTGTGGATCGTGTGCTGTGAAACGTTCCCTAGGCCCATTTTACTTTCTGTTTCAACTGTGTTTCTAGTTGGTGTGCTTTCTGTACATTACGCCTCTGAATATTTGATTTTTCTAGAAAGTGAAGTATCAATATAGTTCCAGAACAGCATCTGTAGCCCCTGACCACTGTTCAAAAGCTGGATGTAATTAAATAAATACACCATTATTTACCATACATACACACACACACGCACACACACCATCCAGTGTCGTAAAAGAGCAAACACAGAGCAGTTTTTCATCAAACATGGGTACCAACAGAAAGTTTGCACGTTGAGGACTGCTTTCAGCTGCCCACAATACATTCTTTGAAACCGTACGAGTGTTACTGACAACAGGACCCTCAACAAAAGACAGTGTTCATTGTTCAATGAATGACTCGCAGTTTGCTCTCGGTACAGATCCTGGGGCCCGAAAAGTCATGGAGGCCCCCAAGAAATATACTCCCAGAGAGGAGCCAAACAGGATGTATGAGGTGAGACAAATTAAGGACGATACCAAGTAGAAGACCATCTGCATCCATGTTTGCTTTGGCTCTGCAACAAGGTCCTGGCTCTGTTTACTCACAGGTTTTTCACTCCTTTTTGCACAGATTAGTTCCTTTTAATCTCTCTTCACGTGTGTGACTTTAAAACTGGACAATGGCCAGTGAGTAAGTTGGCCTGGCTTGAATTGGTGCACAGTTGGTTACTGTCCACAGATACAGTGGTCATGCAGGTGTTTCTCAGAGGACTAATATTTGCTGACTTAGATGACAAGATCAACTGGGTTTCTGAGAGGGGTCAGCTGTGGAGGGGTCAGGGTTAGGATCAGAACTTTCCTAGTATGCGGAGTGAAGGAAGTCAAAATAAAGACAAGGAGACAAAGGCAAATTCAAGTTCCCATACTTGGTCGTCAGGTGGTTATGCTCTTCCTACATTCAGACCTACATGGTGTGAATTATTTGTTGACAATCTGCCACTTCTGAATGATATCACCCTGTCCCTAGTTCTATTGGCACAGCTGGTGCATCTCTCACAGCTGCAGAGAGACAACTGGCATTATCCAACTGCAGAGCAGGCTGTTCATCAGAAAGTGGCAAAAAAGGGATACCCTAACAAAATAAATATAACATCTTTTAGATTCTTTCACAGTATCTGTGTCAGCTGAAAAATGTCCTTTCGAGTAGTCATTCTAACTCACTGCAATTTCTTTTTGTTTGTTGCTGTTAACACAAACAAACTGTTTACACCCTGATCTTGACATTTTATTATCTACACTCAGCAATATTCAAAATCTATTAGCCATTATCTATATCAATCTCTTGATAGCATACATTTCCTCTTAATGATATAAAAAAATACCCCACAGGCGTTGCTTATTCAGATTACTTTCCATCCATCTCCTCTTTAATGAAGGAGGAACAACAGCTCCATCCTGATTGATGTTGTAAAGGCCAGCAGCACCACGAATGATCCTCTCACCTCTCCCTGGAGTCAGCTCCAGTCTGGCATCTGCTAAAGGGCACAGTTACACCATCCTGTGCCCTTGTCCCGCCCCCGCCTATTTGATAGCGGGCCAAGACTGACCCCACAGAGCCTGCCAAGGACCCCTGTCTGTGGGCCCCGGG